GGACTTCCTCGAAAGTTGCTCAAAGTTATCCCATTTTCTTCTAAAACTGAGTCATATGTCTCTGTAAACTAAATGATTTTAGTGTTTTTTTATCTTATCATATATTTTCTAACAATGTTATTATTTACATCTATTTATTTATTCGTTATTTATTTATTGTATTTTAAAATTCTATTCTGTCAATGACATGTAAATGTTCAGTGGCAATATAGCATACTCAAACTCGCTCTACCTCTCCTTTGCTTGTTCTCTCTCTCCCCTCGTTCTCTCCACCGCCTCGCTGTCGCAGTGCACCCACGCTGTTGATTCTCCTCGCTGCTGGGCTCTGCTCGGCTAATCGCCGGGGACGCCGGTGCACTTGTGCCCTTCATGCAGTCCGCTCCCTGCCCCGCTACGCTCCGCCACGCCCCACCAAGCCCCGCCACGCCACGCCAGATACCCTCCGGATGCCTTCCTCCGCCGGGGGCTGCGCCGGGCACACATTGCAACACCTCGCTCCCTCTCCCTCTCTCTCGCTCCCCCTCGCGCGGGGTTGTGTTATGCGGCCAACCGTTCCCTCCGGTACGGTGTGGTAAGGCGTGGCGCGGCGCAGCACGGCGTCGGCTGAAGTGGTGAGGTGTGTGGCCGAGGAGAGAGAGAGGCGAGGCGGGTGGTATCCAGGGAGACTTTGTGTATTTACGGAGGAGCAGGAGGGGGGAAGAGGCAACGAGCTTCAGTCCCGCGAAGAAAGCTACACACCTGGTGGTGGCAATCTTGCCTCGAAAAGCACTTAAACTCTTTAAATAAGTCACTTTCAACTAGGCTAGATTTCATTTTATTTCATTTTAACAATTTCTCCTAAATTGTTTGCCACCCCGTGTGTGGGAGAGAGAGAGAAGAGAGCGCGGGGCAACATTTTCCGAGCCCCTACCGCGCCCCGCGGGGGGCCGCGCCCCGTCCTGACCGGTCGAGGGGTTGGCGTCGCTGCGCGTCGCGGCGCGGTGCGGGGGGCCGACTGTATCGGCGTCGCTACGCGTCGCGGGCCCGTGCTTGCGGGTCACCCTGTGCCATGGCCGCGGCGGGGGGTGGCGGGCAGCCCACATATGAGACCATGAGTGTCGCCCGGCTGGGGTGCTCTCTCTCTCTCTCTCTCTCGCTCGCTTGCTCTCTCCTCGCTCTCTCTTCCTCTTCCCTCAGATGGGATGGAGATATCTGCGGGACAAATCTCTGGGTCGCGTGGCGGGCGTGGTGGGCATGGTCGCCTTTAACCAACCCCTCCCCCCACCCCCCTCTCTGCTCGGCAGCAGCACCCTCTTTGCATTGGGCTACCCGACTCCTTACCGCTCCAACGAACCGCGACCCTCCCCCTACCAGTGCTGAATCCTCCCCCCCCCTCCCCCCCCCGACCTCGCTATAACCCTCCCTTGACTGTGAACGTCTAGTCCTCCCATGTGTCGCTTGGGAGAGGAAACTGTGTACAGCGAGCGTGAGCGGGGACTTTTGCTTCCACCATCACCGCTTCAAATAGATTTATTTGCACATCCGTTTAGAGCTAACGTCAAATAGGTGGCTCACCATTAAGAGGAAGAGGTACAGTACGCATTGCTGTTCCTTTTAGATTATGTGATTCTGACTTCTGCAATTCCTGAAACCCCGATATTTATGTTTGTGACAACTTGCGACCCTGGTATCACCAAAAACCAGCAGCCGCAAAATATACGACGCTGTGTATTACATAAAATCTAAAAACAAATGGGCGTGATTTTCTTAAAAACTGTCAAAACATTACGAATGAAACTTTATATTTGTTAGCTACGTTATACAGTACTGTACGTATTAGCGATTGACACATAATGACATAGAGCATCGCGTCTGCGTCGGCGCAATATGCGTTCTCCTCGAGTAGCTCATTTGCCCCTCTGCCCCCCCCCCCCTTTTCCTCCTCTCCTGCACTCACACACGCGCGGTCAGATCGCGCGGTAGAATTACGGTCCACACTCGGGCTGGCGGCCGGCCGGCCAGCAGAAGCTCCCCCCCCCCTTTCCCCTCCCCCGCAGAGCCAGATTCGCGGTCCGGCATTTCGGTTGGGACGGCGGGGTAGGGCGGCGTGCCGACGCTCGGCCAAGGGATGAAATGTAAAACACGCCAGAGTCAGCCCACTAATTTGCGGATTATAATTCTGCCTGGAAACAACCTCAGGCAGAACACGAATGCTAGAGCAGGGGAACAGAGGAAAAAAGAGGTATACCGAAAATTCACAACACAGACCAGTCCTGGAGACTAAATCTAAAAACACAAAACTATAAGAAATTGGGTCACAAGAGTTTTAGACTACCGGAGCAAAAGTTTTTTCTGACTTTTTCTTACTTTTGTCGTTGTAACTTATTTTGAGCGTCACGAGGGGAAATTTCCGCATCCTTTGCTGGGGGCTGTGGGCGAGGCTGTGGGTATGGGCGGCGGCGCTGGGCTGGGCGGTGCTGTGTCGATGACATGGTATTGGTTACACGGCCCTTGCTGTTGTCGCCGCCGCATTGGTTTGCCTGCGCCGTCCGCAAACAAGTACATAGCCCCAACTTTCACCACCGCACAACAGCATATACCCCCTTCTTACCACCCCCTCGCCCACCCCCTTTCTACCTCCCTCGCCCTTAGCTTTGCGCACAGCTTCGCTGACCAGCCCGGCGGCCGCCGATGGGGTAGAGAGGAAGAGAGAGGTTGAGACTGGGGGAGGCGAGGGAGAAGGGCAGTGGAGAGGCCTCAGCTACGCCGCCCGGAAGGCTGAAAAATTGGCGCTCACTTTTGTCCTTGGTTCATATGTGCTCATATTGGCCAATGGTTTGTGCAATAACGACAACGAAAGAGTTCTTGCTGGGAAGCCAAACCTAACAAACTTATAGATGTGCGAATCATTGCGCCGTCTTCTTCCGCGTCACACTGAAAAATATCGAATCATGCAGGCGTCCTGGAATTGCGTTGGAAGTACTTTTTGCTGTAGTTGCCTATACGCCCCTCGGGCGGCTTGATGAGGTGTGAGGTGTGCTGCAAACAGCTATGCAGCAGCTCTGCACGGTCAGGCGCGTCGCGTGTATGGACCGTGTGCAGGACGCAAACACGCTCAGCACGCTCAGCACGCTCACCTCACACACGGTCAACTGGCCCGTCCATCACACTCGCAGAAGCAAGACTACAGCTGGCGTGAGAGACCTCAATGCGCCATCCCAAGGTGCCATAACAAGGCTGTGGACTCTGTAGTGTGCCGGCGTGTGCGTGCGTGAGTGTGCACGGCTTATTCGGGAGGGTTGTCTGTGGCGGGGCGGGGCGGGGCAGGGCGGGGCGCCGCGAGGGCGTCCCGTCGCCTCGCTTTGCTGAAAGTTGACTCATGGCCGCCGCCATGGCCGGGGCCAGGGGGGTGGCTCGGCTTGTTTGGCGGGTGCCGCGGCGGCAGTACTGGTGGCAGGGAAAAGGGGGGAAGGGGGGAGGTCAGTGGCGGTGCTTAGGTTGCGGGAGAGGGAGAACACCCCAATTCTCTCTTACACTCACTACTAGCTTCCTTCTGCACGCCAGTATCCTGGCTACGTCACTGAAACGAAACAAAATACGTAGTGGGAGAAATGGGGGGGGGGGTCTGGGGTTGCGCGACGGGTTGTTGGTTCAGGCAGTAAGCAGGTTGTGAGCGCACACGAAGGGACCTCCTGACGCAGCCCGCGCCACGCCACGCCCGCCGCGCACGGACGGGGTGTCTGGCTGTGTTTGCCGAGGCCAAGGGGTGAAAGGCGAGAGGGGAAGCCACGGGGGCGTTAAGCACCGCAAGGGTTAACAAAATACGACAGAAAAACAAAAGAGTTTCGTGATACGTCAAATAATTGACAGAAGCTCAAATCGCGGCGAATGCAGCTCCTGAAAAAAAGAGAGGGGTCGAGCGAGCGATGGTGTGTTTTTTTGGTGACAGCGCGTTTCGCCCGTCGCCCGCAGCGGCCGACCGTCACTGCTGCACTGGGCAGCGCGACCACAGATTGAAACAACAAATCGTCTGCCAAATTCGGCCGAGCGACTGCGGCTGGCCGAGCCCTCTGTATGTGTGTGTGTGAGAGAGAGAGAGCGGGGGGCAGTGGTGGTCTGGTCTGCTGTGCCCATGGTCGCACGGATGTGGACAGGGGCCGACTGGCCGTCGCCATTGGTGAGGCCGTTCGTAAATAACCGAGTGTCGTTCGATGCTGGCGGCCGCATAACGGACGGCGGCGGGCCGCAGGGGCGACAGCTCGCCGCCGGGAGGCCGCGGCGGTGGCGTCGACGCCAGGCGATCTCGTCCGCGTCCTGGTGCGCCGCCGTGCCGAGTGTCGCGCCGCCCGCGAGGTAGGCACCCCGGGCGCGCGCGCGTGCTGGCGCGGCCTACCCTCCCGGCGGAGACCAGTTGCGCCGCCACGACGCGGAGGCTGCGCGTCTCGCCCTCGTCTCGTCGCGGGGCGCAGCGCCCGCCCGCCATCCCCTCCCCGGAGCAGGAGTGAAAAGAGTGGCGGCGTCGCACCGCGAGGGGAGAGCGAGCGAGCGCGCGGGGGAGCGAGCGAGAGGGGCGGGCGCGCGAGGCGAGAGCGAGCGAGAGGCGGCGCTGAAAAAGCGAAAGACACGGTGGTGGGGGGGATTGAGGGAGGTGGAGCTTTTGCTGTGGCCGTGCGGTAAGTCAGAGTAGTGGGGAAAAATAGGAGGCGAGGGGCGGGCGGCGGGGAGGG